CAACCACAAACTCTTGGGCTTAAGCAATTCTCTTGCCTCAGCCTCCCAAGTAGCTGGGACTACAGGTGCCCACCACAATGCCCAGCTATTTTTTGGTTGTAGTTGTCATAGTTGTTTGGCAGGCCCAGGCTGGATTCAAATCCACCAGCTCTGGTTTATGTGGCTGGTGACCTAGCCACTTGAGCTACAGGCAACAAGCCTAGGATAAATTCTTAAAAGAAGAATTTCCGAGTAAAAGGTAGTTTGTAAGTTTTTAATGTAGTCACCAATTGCTTTCTATATGTAAAGTTACACAGACATCGATAAGTTATATAGATTCATTCACCAAACCTACAAACTAGGAACCTGCCTACTTCCCTGAATATTAGTCAATTCTAAGCAGCCTGTTTGTTCTAATTCTTTTTTTTTTTTCTTTTTGAGCACAAGTCTCACTTTGCAACCTCAGTAGAGTGCTATGGCATCATAGATCACAGCAAACTCAAACTCTTGGGCTCAAGTGATCCTCTTGCCTCAGCCTCCAGAATACCTGGCACTATAGGTGCCCACCACAATGCCCAGCTATTTTTAGAGACAAGGTTTTACTCTAAGCTCAAACAATCCACCCGCCTTGGCCACCCAGAGTGCTAGGATTACAGGGGTGAGATACTGCACCCAACCTCCTGTTTTTCTAATTCTTACCAGTTTAGTGGGTAAAAATTGTTACCTTGTTCTATCTTCCAACTTTTATTATATAAGGAAGATTGGTAACTTTTTCTTATGTTTACTGGTCACTTATATTCCTTTTTTTGTTAATTCTTTGTTCATGATCTTTGCCCATTTTTTTTCCAAATCTTAACTGGTTTGTTAAGAACTCTTATATATGAAAATTTTCATGTTCTGTTATACATATAACAAATTTTGACATTCAATTCTGCTTATAGCATTTTGCCAATCAGATTTTGTTCCATTTTAATGTAATAAAAACCTTTTAACATTTTTCTTTAATGGCTCCTGCCTTGGGTTTTAAGTTAGGAATTCTTCCATATCCAGAAGTTAAATACTTATTAAACTGTTTCTTGATATAGTCTATATTTTACCACAGATAATATAAAATTTGCATAATATACACATACTTAAATTTCTTTTTTTTTT